CCCCCAAAAAACACACACACACAAGAAACCCAACTAACATGTATATTCAACATGTACTAAGTACTACTAGCATGGAGGTAGGAAAATCTTGCTACCTCCATGGTACTAGTACTGTAGTAGTTCAGAAAACAACCAAGCTAGGCCTGCTAGGGCGAAACTGCCATGCATGTTGGTTAATCTCCAAGCAGATGTTTTGGTGGCCCCAAAAGACAGTATCGAATTGGCCATTGCCAAGTTATCTTTTCAACAGTACTTTTTCCGTAAATAATTTCATCAGGTTGGTATACAAATGAATAGCAAAGTTCTTTGATTAGGCCACACCAATTTAATTTCTTGGTTAACGGATTCGCCCGCTTCATTTTTTTCTGATTTGCAAATAAAAATAAAAATTGAGAATCAACTGCAAACTGCTCATATTTTGTCCTGAACAGTTGAAAACAGACCTTTTCATCCTAGTTGTTACAGTTATTCCATCTTTCAATGCAATGGTATCATTAAAAGTTCAAAATTCATTGTTTAAATTTTGAACCAGCCTGGTGTGTTGACTTCATGGCTCCTATCGTACCATTTTGGACCATAATAGGATGTTTTTATTTTTATTTTTTTTCCGCCCGCCCGCTCCATTATTTTTCTAGAAAAATCCGTTAACCAAGAAATTAAATTGGTGTGGCCTTACAACCATTTATTTTTTACGAACCAAGTAACAGTTTTTACGAACCAAGAAACAAGTAACAAGTATGAAACAGTGAACCAAGTAACAGTGCACTGTGAACTATGTAACACCTTTAGTGCACTATGCACCAAGTAACATCTAGCGTCAGTGCACGGTAAACCAGTCAGAATTGCCCTGTTGAAGATGACAGGCGGTCATTGAAACGTCGGCTCGTAAGTAATAAATGGTTGTGACCAAAGAACTTTGCTATTCAAACAGTACTTTTGTTTTCAAACCGTTATACTTGAAAGTTTTTGAGTCATGTCTTTCATTTTTTTTCCATCCAGAGATGGGCAGACCTGGTGAGACACCCTCGGAGAGTAAGGAGAGCAGTTTTAGGACAACTCCCAAGTCTTGCTTTACTGTTAGCCACACAGGAGAAAATCCTGGGGAAAATGCATCAGCCCAACAACTAACAAAACACTCTGGTGAGAAACCCTACGTTTGTGGGGAGTGTGGGTACAGGACAGCTCGAAAGTTCAACTTATCCCAACATATGAAAACCCATACAGGAGAAAAACCCCACATGTGTGGGGAGTGTGGGTACAGGACAGCTTACAAGTCTGACTTATCCCGACATATGAGAACTCACACGATAGACAAACCCCATGAGTGTGACCAGTGTGACTATTCTGCTGCACAGAAAAGTGACCTAGACCAACACATTATGGCTAAACACACTGGAAACAAACCCTACATGTGTGGGGAGTGTGGATACAGGGCAGCTTACAGGTCTCACTTATCCCGGCATATGAGAACTCATACAGGAGAAAAACCCTACATGTGTGACCAGTGTGACTATTCTACTGCACGGAAAAGCAATTTGGCAACACATCGAACAAAGCACTCTGGAGACAAACCCTACATGTGTGGGGAGTGTGGGTACAGGACAACCCAAAAGTCTACCTTATCCCAACATATGAGAACCCATACAGGAGAAAAACCCTACAAGTGTGACCAGTGTGACTTTTCTACTGCATACAAAAAATCACTGGACATACATCTAACAAAGCACACAGGAGACAAACCCTACATGTGTGGGGAGTGTGGATACAGGACAGTTAAGAAGTATATCTTATCCCAACATATGCGAACCCACAAAGGAGAAAAACCCTACAAATGTGACCAGTGCGACTATTCTGCAGCTCTGAAACATAGTTTAGACAACCACCTAAGAAAACACACTGGAGACAAACCCTACATGTGTGGGGAGTGTGGATTCAGGACAGCTTACAAGCCTGGTCTAACCCAACATATGAAAACCCATACGGGAGAAAAACCCTACAAGTGTGATCAGTGTGACTATTCTACAGCAAAGAAAGGCAATTTGGCAACACATCGAACAACTCACACTGGTGAGAAACCCTACATGTGTGGGGAGTGTGGGTACAGGGCAGCCAACAAATGTAACTTGTCCCTCCATGTGAAAACCCATGCTATAGAAAAACCCTACAAATGTGATCACTGTGACTATTCTACAGCAAAGAAGTCCACTTTTGACGAACATCTCACAAAACACACTGGTGAGAAACCCTACATGTGTGAGGAGTGTGGATACAGGACTGGTTACAGATCTAATTTTTCCCAACATATGAGAACCCACACAGGAGAAAAACCCTACAAATGTGACCAGTGTGACTTTTCTGCAGCACAGAAAAGTTACTTGAAAGACCACCGAACAACTCACACTGGTGAGAAACCCTATATGTGTGACAAGTGTGGGTACAGGGCAGCCAACAGAACTAGATTATGCCAACATATGAAAACCCATGCAGCAGAAAAACCCTACAAATGTGACCAGTGCGACTTTTCTACAGCTCAGAAACGTAGTTTGGACATTCATCTAACAAAGCACAGTGGAAACAAACCCTACATGTGTGACAAGTGTGGGTACAGGGCAGCTGTTAAGTTTATCTTATCCCAACATATGAAAACTCACACAGGAGACAAACCCTACATGTGTGGGGAGTGTGGGTACAGGACAGCTTACAAGTCTCACCTATCCGTACACATGAGAACCCATACAGGAGAAAAACCCTACAAGTGTGACCAGTGTGACTATTCTGCTGCAGGAAAATCCCACTTGGACTCACATCTAAGAAGCCACACTGGTGAGAAACCCTACACGTGTGGGGAGTGTGGGTACAAGACAACCGATAAGTCTAACTTATCACGACATATGAGGAGAAAACATGCAGGTAAAAAAGCTTAACAAATGTACCTTTGTCCCTCAGACCAGTTGCGGAAAGATCCATTAAAAATTCTGTTTGCTGTGCGATGATTTGAGTTAAGAGACTCTTTTTTACACAACCAAGTCTTTTATTCAGCCAACATTTCGGTGACCGTCTGTCACCTTCCTCAGGGCAATTCTGACTGGTTCACATTGCACTGCAGCACAGGTGTCGCTGCTATAGATACATCCCCAAATGTACAATATTTACATATCTACACATAAAACTTGGTTGTGTAAAAAGAGTCTGTTTACTCAGTGTCTTACCAACCTGATGAAACTATTTACGGATTTGTTTTCTCCTGAGTTTTTGGGTGTCCCCAGAGCTTTCCTACACTCATGGACGGGCAGGTTGGGATCTTCAAATCCCACCACATACTCCATAATGCAACTATGTTCTGCCATATTGTGCCATAAACATATAAAATAAAACTATGATCAGTGATAGTCAAAGGTTGAAGTCGATATCGCCCCCCGTCCCGGTTGAGCGATGGTTGAAGTGCCCTGATGTATATTTGCTGACGTCACGTGTCCACAGCATTTGGGTCAGATAGCTGAGGAAGACTGAGTGATTCAGTCGAAAATTTCTGGTGAGTCATATTTTGAGTTGGAGAACAGTTTAAGTTGTTCATTATGTTCAGTGATGCTTCTTAATAAAAAGTAGTGTCCCTTTGCGGCAAAATCACCAAAAACGGTTTATAACATATTTAAAGTTAAAACTTTCGAGCCAACACAAAGAAATTCTCTCACCTAGGGCTTTCGACCAGTCACTCTGGTCTTCCTCAGTAGACTGACCCAGTCAGGCTTGTCACGTGGCTTCTTTGAAGTGTGACATTAACACACTTTTGTGTTTGTAATATAACTTATAAGTATGAGAAATAAAGGAAGTGACAGTAAGTGACTGAGTGTGTTCACGTCATTTATTATAATACATTCATCTTTAAAAGCTTAATTTCAATATACTGGTAGATGGTTAAAAAAGATGTACATATTCTAAAAGCTACATGGTGAAAACTACGGCTGTGCGTTAAGGACTCCCTCCAGAGGGTGTCTCTACGGTTAAAAGTGAAATAGCTACATTTGTAATTAGTAACATAATTGTTCCTCTGAAACACGTGTACTGATGAGGAAACTGTTTTAGTTTGCAGCCTGCATAAATTTACTTCCCTGGTTCTTTGATACTTTTTTAGGTCAAGACATACCAGACATCATGAAAGCAGAGTGCTGATAGGAAAATTAAAGTCTTGTATTCACTCCATAAAATGAAAGCTTTCCAGGGAAGAGTTTTTTTATTCTAGAACAGATGAAATTTGAAATTGTGTGGCCTCACTTCAGATCCTCCTGTGCTTATAGACAACTTACACTGGTTGCAAGCCATTTGAAGAAAGTCACAAAGAAATTATGGCAGCTCTCTTGTCTCTACCCATTGAAAAGACCAGTCTGTCATGCATGTATAAGGTTAAAAGATATTTTACTTTGTCAAGTAAAATGTTGTACAAAACTATAAACTAAAGTAGTTGCAGCTTTCAATAAACTGACATCGATGCAATTCTAGCTTAAAGTAAAGCTATATTTACATGCAGTTACTGTTAAAATGTGCTTGTAAATATTAGAAAATAATAGATAATCCCTGACTGAGTGAACAAACTGCGGTAAGTATAAAAGATCAGGTTTTGCACCTGTAGTAAAAATAGTCTTAGTACAAGACTCAAGTACAATAAAACATAACATAGTATAAATCACAGAATGCTGCATCATTTTGCCACAAAGTTGTGACAGATAAAAATGTTATTCGTGTGACAAATAAAAATGCCACTTATACGATAATGATTCTGATTCTACTTACTCTAACAAAGGCATTCCAAGATAATTTCATAGGTGACAACATTGTGTGTAAGTTTGTATGTACAAGGGTCAATAAAAATTGAAACATTTCAGGAATACATGACTGTACTACAAAACTGCCTCACGTAATGCTGACCATTCAAGGTGACTGCTGGTCATGCATTTGTCAAAGGGTCTCTGAGTTTGGCACACTAAAATAACAATAAATAACAAGACGTGTCCACAATCACTCATTAGTAATAATAGATTCCTTCCCTGAAACTGAAGGCATGAAGACATAGACAATATTTTGACCTTCCAGTCTTCCATAATGATTATTCTTTCCAACCCAGAACTTACCAGTTAAACTGGTGACTTTAGACTTCTTTTCTCCACTACCTGGTCCTATGTAAATAAGGGTGGCTGTATAGTAAACTTAAATTCCAAAGTAATGTTTGTGGAACAACTTCTTCACTGAAATACTAAAACACACACACGAACAACATTCACTCTCTCCGTCACTCTAACTCACACACACTGGAATGACAAACATTTAATATTATACATGACAACAATTTGGGGCCTTCGAGGGACAACAAAATATCGTACAAAAAATAGTCCTTTGGTCCATTTACAATATACACTCTCAGCTCGCGGGATGAGGTAAGATATCTTGCTATACTTCCGTGCCCTTGGCGACACTTTTGTTGTTGACCTTGACCTCTAAGTTGACCCTTTTGACCTTGACACTGCTGGCCGGCGTGGCCGGGTCCGGCTTGACCCCGCTGCAGGAGTCACCTTTGCCCCCCGACCTTTTCATGATGTCCATTCTCAGGTTGTCGAACGTTTTCTCCTGCTTGACCCCGTGACCTTCACGTGACCTTCGCCGCCTTCTGCAGACGATGAACAAAATCACAGCAGCGATGATGATGATGAGGAGGACCGTAACCGTAGCGACTGTCGCCATGGTGACAGACGGCCCTTCTCTGGCGGAATCCAGCCGGAGGAACCTCATGTTGGTGCCGTTCTTGACGTCGGTGTTTCCGGAGTTTTCCACGTGGTTGTCGGCAAGGTCGCGCTTGTGTATCGCCGTGGAGATGGAGCGCCGGAAGCGAGGCATCATGCCCTGCGGACCGATGATGTAGATCACCTGCAGGTACCACTGATGGCCTGCCTCCACCTGTCGTACGGAGGAGATCAAACACAAAACTCAGACACAGAAGTGTTATATGTTATGTGTAGCACATACATGACATGATTTCCAGGGTCCCAATGGATGGATTTTGGCCAAAGACCAAACAGAGTGGAGGAAACTTGCTGCCCAATGTGCTACGCACAGGAGGAACTAAGTCTAAGTCTAAGTAATGGATGGATAGATGGAGGAGAGAAATCAATCTAAATATGCTCAAAACTGAGAAGACTCCAGTTTGCACATTCCATCAAAACAGATATACTGGTCAGCTATAATATTTCTGGACTACAGAGTATGAGAGAAGTCATGTGGGTTTGGAAAGTTTGGATTTAAATCCAGCTGACTCTGAATTGCAGCCTTCAGAAAATAGCAAAAGACAAACCCAAGTAAAAAACATAAAAACAACCATACTGAACAAGAACAGAACATAAACCAACCTTGTAGAGAGGATCGACTTTCATCATGAACCCGTCGACGCCGGCCAGCTCCTCCATCGGGGTGTAATCCGATAGGTCCTGCGAGAAGTGCGCCTCGAACGGAACCTGGTTAAAGTAACGGTCCTCCCGCGCCCGGTTAGATCGGTCCTGGGGGAGAGAACACACAAGGTTAGAGAAGTAATTTTTCACTACCTTGAATAATCATAAAATTTGCTACGTAGCCATAGACTAATCCAGTGATTTCCCACTGGGAGATGTAGAGTGGGACAACCAAATGCTATACTTTTGTCAATGTTAGAGAAAGACGCTGGTCTCGCAGGGACTGCTCTTGTGTCCGCTATGAGGAGCAGGGTGTATTGGAGTAACTTTATCAAATGTGCCTCACCGGATTAAAATCCGAAGACATGATGATGAAAACTTGCTTGAAAAATACAAAGGACTTGACTTAACTTTATTAGGATCCACATTAAGCATACATATGTACAAGACAGTAGCTTCTTCCTTCCAGCATCCAAGATACATCAGTGAAAGTTAGACATCTCATCTAGGTACCAAAGTAACAGATTGAAGCATTTTAAGTTCATTTGAAGCAAGTTCATCTAAGACCTTCAGGGCAAGACATCATTCTTACCAGTAGCAGGAACCTGTACTTAAGATGCCTGGAAGGTTGGATACAGCAGTACTTACCAGTAGCAGGAACCTGTACTTGAGATGCCTGGAAGGTTGGATACAGCCATACTGCGGCCCCTCGTTGTAGATGGTTCCATCGGGGTCGAAGAAGGGGATGTAGCCGTCGGTGCCGGTGCAGAGGTAAACCTTCTCAATCTGCAGCCGGTACGCTGAGCTCAGGTCCTGCTCTGGGTTCCACAGGACACGCCCGAATATCGTCTGGCCTGGAGAGGACGTAGAAAAAAACAGAATGTAACATGATCCAGGAGAGTTAAGGGTTATGGTTGAAAGGTTAGGGGTTGAAAGGTTAGGGGTTAAAGGTTACTGCTCAGGATTCCACAGGAAGTGACCGAATGTTGTCTGGGCTCCAGCCAAAGATGTTGATTACTCCCAAAGACCACTATAACCTTCAGCATGCAAAGCTAGCTGTTTTGGTCCAGATTTCTATTCATTATGGGCTTAGGTGGCAGAGCTACTGTTGCATGAGGGTCCCGCTGGTTGTTAGAAGGCTCTTTTCAATTCCAGGTCATTGAGAAAGCAAATTGCTGGTACATGTACAATGTAGTTGAGATCTAGACCCCCCCATCCCCTGAAGACCCCCCTAAGCACCTGAGACCCCCCTCACCTCGTGAGAAGGCCCCCTTGTAGTCCAGCTCCTGTGGCAGCAGGTTGCTGTTGGTGGGGTCGGTCAGGAAAACCTTCTCGTTGTTCAGCAGATGGAACTCGGTGTTGAGCGTGTACACCACCGGCACAGGGCGGTTGGTCTGCTGGAAGGCGATCGGAACTGTGAACCTGAAAAAACAAGAGACGAGACGATAAGGCTTGATACAAGACTAGTGCTGTGTACCTACACCTACATTTAGGTTCAGGTCCAGATTCAAGTCCAGCGGTTTAGGTTCAGTTCCAGACTCGTAAGCCCAGACCTTGCAATAATGTTGTATGGGCAAAACTTTGGCCACATAGCATGTTTCAGACCAGACAGTAAAGTTTGATCCAAGTACAAATTG